AGATACCGTGTTTTGCAAAATAGTCAGCAGTTGTTTGTGATCGTAGCGCCTTGCCAAAAGCTTGAATCTCTTGTGCTAGAAAATAAGTCTGCTGATTTGGTTGGGTTGATGTCAAATGATTATAGACATTGACATAGGGCTTACGTATTTTTGGTTCAATAGTTGAGGTATAACGTTCTTTTGTAAGTGGTGCTTTTGAGACATAAATTAAGGTAATTTCATTATCACCTAAAATTTCTATTTTTGTTTGGATACCAAGAATCTGAAGATGTTTTTCTGGGTAGATAACACCTTCAGCGTATAGTGCTTGCATAGCTGTCAAAACTAATTTAAAGACTTCTTTATTACGGTTTGTCGAAAATGAACCAAATTTAGAAACATATAAAGAACCTGTTGGCGTTAATTTTTGCCAGTATCCTTGAAAACCTTCGACCGTATAAAGATAGGTTTCTACAAAAACGTAAGAATAAGGTAGTGGGAAATAAAGTTCGGCGAAACTGATATGGATTAGGTCGAATAAGTTATCTGTGTGACGAATTAGAGTACGGCCATCAATGAGGGTTTCTTCAACAGCATCATAAATGTTTCCTGAAGCATAGCGGCCTTGATCAGATGTCATCAGCGCAATTGTCGCTGGTTTTATTTCGGCTGCCGTAATATCTGTTATACCGTTTGCCCTAAGGAAATGGATATCAGAACCACCACCGAGACCAATAATTAATGCTTTTGTTTTGGGGGAGGCAAAGCCAAAATGTTCGCTAGGATAGCCCGCGTCTCGTACAGAATTAGAAAAAAAGCCATCATAATATAGGCCATAAGAGTAGGGAGCATTATATAATGGGTTCACTTTTCCAAATGGCTCCATTTCTTTTTCGTCAAAAACCTGTGAGCCTATCGATTGTGTTGTTTTAATTAAGTCTGTTCGGGATAGATAATCCCACTGTGTTGCAATAATACGAGCATAATGAGGAGGTTCTGGTTTTTGGTTAAGTAAAAACGTATTATATTTTCCTGAAGCGCCATGTTTAAGCTTGTTTTGTAGTTGAAAGAAATCCCAAGCCAGAGGTTCCGGTGTCCTATAGAGCGCTGTTAATGTAACCAGGAGTAATAGGCCTAGACTAATACCAACAGTTATGTAGCGCCACCAGCTTTTCAACAAAATCCAGAAGTCGACGGTTAATGGTAATAGAATGCAGACTAAAATTAAGGATTCTGCACCGATAACTGGTAAAAAAAGTGCGATAAAGAATGTACCAATAGCAAAGCCGCTAAGGTCAGCAAAATAGATAATATTTTGGTCATGATCACGAAAGGCAATGCCTAAAAGTGTACCTGTGATGATAAATGGAAAGATAGATACTAGTTTTATTAGTTCTAAATTGCTAAGCAATAAAATACCGAATGCTGAAAAGGTTGTTGCTATAGCTAAAGATAAGATAAAGTGGCCATAGGTTTTAGGTGATGGTATGAAATAAGCAATAAGTGCCCCTAGGCTCATACCAAGATAGTAATAAGGTAATAGTTCAAATAAATTACCCCAAAAAGCATGTAGCCGAATTAGTTTAGGAAAAAGGATTTCAAGTAAAAGCGTAACGCAGGTCGCAGTAAAGATAGCCAGAGCATGTTTACGTGTCGATATGATGAATGTTTCCTTTTAAACAGACGTTAATTAAAAGTAGGAAATATCATTTGTGTCAGCCATAGGTAATATTAAGTATTTCGTAAGCCCGTTCACCACCAGGTGCCTGAAACTCAGCTTCATCTCCAACCCGTTTGCCGATTAATGCTTTTGCAAGTGGACTTAAAACATTAATTTTGCCTTCGTCGGGATTGGCTTCGTCATCACCAACTATCGTGTAGGTGTTTTTTTTGTCGGTATCTAGATCAATTACTTCAACGGTTGCACCAAATTCAACTTTATCTGAATTGATTGTTGCTGGATCAATGACCTCGGCTAAACCAATTTTACTTTCTAGTTCACGAATGCGTGCCTCGATAAAACCTTGGCGTTCCTTTGCTGCATCATATTCCGCATTTTCTGATAAATCGCCATGTGCACGAGCAGTAGCAATATCTTCAATGACTTTTGGTCGTTCAATTTTTTTAAGTTGTTCAAGCTCTTGTTGTAATACTTGATAGCCATTTGGTGTCATTGGTACACGTTGCATATCTAAAAGACCTCTTAGAACACTCCGCTTTGTTTGTTATGTTTTGCAGAGTCTTTGTTTATTGAAAAAATTGAATTGTCGTTACTTGACAATTCTGGATGGCGATGCCAAAAGTTAAAAATAACTATTATTTTAGCTACTCTAAATTTGAAAAGCACAATTTGTATTTTCGTATACGTTACAAAAATACAAATTGATAATGTATTAAGTTAGTGTACTTAATACAATGGCCCCGATAAGTAAAAGTGCTGAAACAATCGTTATTTTGTCAAAATGATGGTCTATCCATGTTGCTGCTCGGTCACCAAAAAAATTTAGTAAGCCGGCAATTAAGAAAAATCTTGCACCACGACTTAGAATGCTCGCTAATATAAATACAGACAGGTTAACGCCTGCCGCACCACTTGAAATCGTAATTAATTTGTAAGGAATTGGCGAAAAACCCGCAATTATTACAATCCAAGCATCATAATCTTGATAATACGTAAATAGCGTTTCTAGTTTTGTTTCTAAACCATAGAGTTTCACAATGTAAGTACCAATGGTGTCCATGGCAACGGTTCCTAAATAATAGCCAATTAATGCACCGATAATAGAAGTAATGAGACATACGCTTGCGTAAAAAAGAGCACGCTTTGGTTTAGCAACACACATAGGTACAAGCATGGCATCTGGTGGTACAGGAAAGAAAATAGATTCTGTTAACGATACGATACCGAGCAAATAGCTAGCTGCTGGACGCTGGGCAAGATTAACAACCCAATCATAAAGTTGTCGTGACCAGGTAAGTGGTTTTTTGAGTAGTGAATTCAAGGTCTCTCCAAGGGAATTACATTGGTTAAGTTTTGTAGAGAGTCTGATATATCATTATTTGATAGTAAACTAGATGCCAGGTGGTTACATTCTAAATTCGTTTGTTTTAATGCTGTTACCATTTTATGGTCTGTTAATTTTAAATGTAGTGGCGTTACAGAGACAAAACCAGATTCGATTGCTTCGACATCACTACCTGGTTCAGTTGGTTGATCGATGACATCGCCACCAATCCAGTAATAACGGCGTTCTCGTGGGTCTGATTTCTCAACAACTTCTGCACCATAAACACGAGTGCCTTGCGTTGTCACACGTAAACCTTCTATTTTGCTGCGTCGTGGATCTGGAAAATTAACATTTAAAAAAGTTCCTTTCGGAAGACCAGTTTTAAGGACGTAGGTCACAATATGATGAACCCATAGTCGTAAAGCTTCCAAATCATTACGACTATGACCAGCAGAGAGACAACTAAAGGCAATCGATGGTACACCCAGTAGACAGGCTTCCATTGCCCCTGCGACTGTGCCGGAATAGGTAATTTCATCACCCAAATTACTACCATGGTTAATACCTGTTAAAACAAGTTTTGGTTGCTGTGGTAGAACCGTGCTGCGTAGACCTAAATGAACGCAATCTGTTGGTGTGCCATCGACAGACCAAAGGTGTTTGCCTTCTTTTGTAACACGAAGGGGACGGTGTAAGGTTAGTGCATGGCCACAGGAACTTTGTTCTTGATCTGGTGCAATTGTATAGGTTATACCTAAGTCTTGAACAAAGTTTAAAAGTGATGCGATACCATTGGCACGATAACCATCATCATTTGAAATGAGAATAATAGCAGACATGGTTTAAACATAGGTTATTTCGGAGACGACCGCAAATTTGTGTGCCATATTTTACAATATAGATTGAGTCGTAACACGCTTAGGTTAGCAGTCATGCAGTATGTAGAACGTCCTTTTATATCCATGGTTATTCCCTTTTTTAATGCTGAGGCGACACTTGGGCAGTTACTGCACTCTGTCGATGCGTCTTTTTTTATTCATAACGAGCTTATTTTGGTTGATGACGGTAGCTGTGATCACTCTTCTGAGTTGGCTCAGTTGTTTATTGAGCAGCAACCAGCAGCACGCTTGATTGCTTTAGATTGCAATCAAGGACCTGCAGTAGCACGGAATCGTGGTGCGCAAGCAGCTAAAGGTATTTTCCTTTGGTTTTTAGATGCTGATGTGATGTTAACAAAGACAACTTGGCCTAGATTAGAACAGCAACTTGACAGCTTGAGAGATAATGTTGATGCGGTGATGGGGATTTATGCTAAGGAACCGGCTAATCCAGGTTTTTTCCCTCGTTATAAAGCGATGCTTATGGCATATTACAATACGGTTGGTACGCAGATGGAATGTTTTGAAGCCTGCTGTGGTGTTATCCGCAAACAACTTTTTGATACTCTTCAAGGGTTTAATGAAACCTACCGAGATGCTGATGTCGAAGATTATGAATTTGGTTATCGGCTTTTAAATGAGACCCATGTAAACTTTGACAAAGAATTCATTGTCATACATCATTTTCCTCATTTTTTACCTAATGCTGTTAAATTTTTTCGTCGTACAAAGCTTTGGGTTCAACTATTTTGGCAGCGGCGACAGTTTGATTCGACTGTCGCAACATCTCAAGAAGCTGTCTGCCGTTTACTTGCCATCGCAAGTATAACTATTCTTGCTTTATGGCTTTTGCAGCTATTACCGTTAGGTATTGCTATTTTTTCCTATAGCTTTTTTATCATCAGTATTTCGCCACTATTTATGTTTGCATTTAAATTGTATGGTGCTGGTATGGCTTTAAGTCTTCTTGTTGTCTATCCACTCAATAGTATTATTATTTTTTGTGGAGCTATTTGGGGAACGTTTAGTCTTATACAAAGTAAGATGTTCGCGTGGGGTAAACATTGAGTTTCCTCAATGCTGCTACTCGTGTTGCTACAGCGTCTTGGCATTCAAAACCTAGCTATCTCATTTTATTTGTGACAAGCCTTTGCAATGCACGTTGTGACCATTGTTTTTATTGGCAGGAATTAGAAGACAATGGTCGTAGTGATTTAACCCTTGCGGAGATAGAAAAAATAGCTAGACATTTCAACCACCTTGTTCAACTCACCATCGGGGGAGGTGAACCTTTTTTAAGACAAGATTTGGTTGAGATTGTTAATGCATTTGTACAGCATAATCCTTTGACACATATCACAGTTAATACGAATGGTTATCAACCACAGAAGATCGTTACCCAAACTGAGCGCATTTTAAATATTTTGCCAAGTAGCGTTCATTTGAATTTTTGTGTTTCTGTTGATGATTTGGATGAACGTCATGACCAGCTACGTAAAACACCTAATGGTTTTTTACGCTTATGTGACACGATTGATAGAGCTGCAAGTTTAAAAAAACGGTTTAGTAATGTCTCTATTCATACAACAACATGTTTGATGTCAACAAACCAGGATCGTATTATTGATATTTTACGTTGGCTAGGTCGCCATTTACCTATAGACTATCGTGACCTTGTTTTGACACGTGGTTTACCAAAAGATGCAACCTTAAAAATAGTTGATCCAGAGATTTATAAACAAGCATGTACCTATTTACAAGCGGAGCAAAAAAAAGAACCTTTTAGCCTTCGTGGTCTTATGGTACAGGGGCTTACACGACAGCAACAAAAAGTTGTATTAGAAACTTATCGCCATCATACATTTATACATCCTTGCAATGCGGGGCAAAAATTTATTGTGGTTCGTCATAATGGTATGGTTGATCCATGCGAAATTATTGAGACGTTACCTAAGTCAAGAGATCAAGAGAATAAGCTTACAAGTTATAGTTTTGGTAATCTACGTGATTACCAATATGATATTCATCGTGTGATGAACAGTAAGCAAGCCAGAAATGTGCGTGAGTATATTGAGCAGACTCGCTGTCGTTGTACGTTTGAGTGTGCCACGATGTCTAATCTGGTATTTAATCCTCGTCGTTATCCTAAGATTGCTACTGAAGTTGTGCGTACAGCTTTAGATCGTCTAACTTAAACCGTCTTAAGCTGGCTCCGCAATTTTAAGCACAGTTTCGCAAATGTAATCTATTTGGGCCTCTGTTAGACCTTCCCATAAAGGTAGTGCCAGATTATGTTTTGCATGAAAATAGCAATTAGGTATCTCTTCAAACGTTTCAATATGGCCTAAAGACATCTGGTGTTCCAGTAGGGTTACAGGAAAGTAAGTTCCTGTTCCAATACTTTTCTGTTGCAGTTGTTTACGGATGTTGTCGCGATTTTTAACATAAATGATGTAGTGATGGTAGGCAGAGCCATCTTGGGGAAGGGCGCGTGGGCCGTGAAAAGTTGTATCTAAATGTTGTTGGTAGCGTTTAAAGAGTTGCTCTCGTTCATATCGTAGTGTTTCAAAATAGGATAAACCCCGCAAAGCAGCGCCGGCAGATAATTCTGACATACGTGCATGGACAAGAGGCTCATTTGCATAGCCAGCATCTAAACCAAAAAAGCGTCCACGACGGCACCAATCAGCATGGTCGGTATGGTTTGTTAAAATGGCTCCTCCTGTTGCAATACCAGCTAAAGGTTTTGTTGGGTAGATAGATGTGACACTTAAATTACCATAGGTGCCAACAAGACCTTTTTCACAAGATGCACCAGCACTTTGTGCAAAGTCTTCAATCATTGGAATGCCATATTGATCAGCGAGCCTGCGTAAGTCTGTAAGTGGTGCTGCGATACCATGAAGGCTTGCAACATAAAGACAAGCAATATCGTTTTTACGTAAACAAGCTTCGACGTGATTAGTGTCAATTTGTCCTGTTTCTAACGTGCAATCTACTAAAATTACAGGTTTTTGGATGCGGTGACTGGCCATAATTTGTGCAACAAATCCGTGACCGCAAGTCAGAATGGCTCCATTGCGGTCTGCACAAAGCTTATGAATTGCTAGTGTTAGACCATCTGTTGCACTACCGATTAAAACAGCATGCTGCATACCAAAGTATTCAGCTAATGCCATTTCTAATGTTTGTGTGTAGTGTCCGTCAAGAGCATTTCCTGAATTCAGGATTTTTTTCTTATAGGTATCTATTTCTGCTAGTAGTAAACTTGCGCGTCGTGTGAAATCAAAAAATGGAATAGAGTGTGTTGACATTATCTTACTTACGCCCAGTATATTCTTTTTTGTTTAAAAGTTATATCGTCGCTAAAGTATTTAGTTATGACACGTTATGTAACAAAGCCAGTTCTATCTATTATAGTGCCTGTTTATAATGAAGAAGCTATCTTTAGTTTATTCTATCAACAGCTTAAACTAGTACTTGCTGAGATCTCGGTGGCATATGAACTTATTTTTGTTGACGATGCAAGTACAGATGATTCTGTTGAGTTCATCACACAATTTACGCAGCACGATAACCATATTCATGTCATAAAGCACCAAACGAATTTAGGAGAATGTGCAGCAATTTTAACAGGCCTGCGAGTAGCTAGAGGTGATTTTATTACGACAGTTGATTGTGATTTAGAAGACCGTCTTGACTATTTATCTGATCTTTTTCAGCAGGCGCAGACACAAAAACGTTGCATCTTAGCGGTTCGCCAAAAAAGACCTTACCATTTTTTGCGTAACCTAGGATCACGCTGTTTTTATTATTTACTCAACCTACTATCGCGGCAAAATTTTGTCGATGGTATTGGTAATTTTCGTGTGATGCTAGCAGCAGATGCGCAAAAAATTCTTAATTATCCTAAAGCGTGTTCACATTTTGGTTTATTAACACAGCTCTCGGGCATTTCTTATGAGCTTGTTTATCTTCCAGCCGGTAAACGGACTGCTGGTTCTAGTTCTTATTCTTTATTACAGCTTGTTTTTTGGGGCAGTGAGCTTATTTATGGGTGTCTTAGTTATGTACGTGTCGTCGCTCTTTTAGGACTTTTTAGTACGCTTGGTGTTGTGATGCTTTATGTCTCTTTATTGAGTTCTAAGGGGTCTATTATTATGCTGATGTTCTCACTTCTTTTTTTGAGCAGTAGTGGTTTGATTACAGGCATCTTTATATTTGGTCATCAACAGATGAAGCGGCGGAGAATTTTAGATTAGTTAAATAATAATGTTGCGATTTGGTGCCACTCATTAATCAATAAGATATTGAGTACAAAAACTATTATAGGTATTAAGGTTAATAATATATGTATTGGCTGCTGTTTTAAACTATGGTAGCAGTGTTTGAAGTTGATTTTTTTATGGCTAACGATTGCTGCCGCAATGGAAAAAAAAGGTATATAGCGTAGATGGTAGCGTGAGTTTCCGTTAACAATAAAAGCAATAATTGTTAAGTGTGCAATAAAGACAATTGTACAGACCGTTACAATAGTTATCGGTGAGCTACGTAGGCCAATGATGGTATAAAGCAGTAATAGAAATGATGTCACGGAAATAAGTAGTAATATGATAAATATTCCGGTTTGTGAGATTTCTACGTGGAGATGATTACTTTTAGTAAAAGCCCAAAGGTAAGGGCGAATTTCAATATTCCATAGATAACCAATACGGCGAATACCACGGAGAAACGATTCTTTAGGGGTATCCAAAATACTTTGGTAACTCGCTACTCGTAGGTTTTTGTCCCAGGCTAGTTCTTGATTAGGAAAACGGTATAGCTCTTGTTTGACAATGTCCGGTAATGGTTTGTTCGATAACCAACGTGAAAAGTCATCACCAGAGGCTCCTGGGTAGTTCCCTTCCCATAAAGAACGCCCAGAACTTGTTTGTAGAACTAAGGATTGATGAACAATATAGTTGCGAATTAGCCAAGGAAATAACCCAAGAAAAAAAGCGAGTAGAAAAATAATAATCCCCAAAGATTTTAATGGGCGAACATCGTTCCATTTTGTAAAACAAAAACAGACAATGATCAATAGAAACGGTACGATTAAAAATTCGGCCCGTGTTAATGTCGCCGCTGCAGCAAATAAACCTGCTGCTAGTGTATACCAAGGATCTGCTAAATAATCTGATTTTTGAATGTAATAGACAAACAGCACAATAAAAAATGTATGCAGGGTCAGTGGTAAAAGTGTTATTTGATGCATTACCAGAGATGGGTAACATAGAGTTATCAAAAAACTACGAAAGGCGATTTGGTTGTCATAAGCATTGCGTGCAATGAGAAAAGTCAACCAAGCAATGAGTATTCCTAGGAGCGCTTGGATAAATCGTATATGGTTTAAATTTTCTCCTAGTGTTGTTTTAATGATTGCTAAAAATAATGGATAGATAGGTACCCAATAGCTACGAAATGTACCGTATTGTGTTTTAGTTGCTAACGTGTGCTGTTGGGTTATATTGTTTGCCGTTTGGTTAAATAACTGTTCATCAATTAGTAATTCTTGTGCATTGCCGCTAAAGACAACATATGTATTTAAGGTTTGAAAAGTTAATATAGAGATAACCGCAATCAAAAACCAACGTTTTTGGTTACGAGTTAGATCTAAATGGTGGTTTGTATTAAGCAATATTTGACGTTGTGGTGAATGGGTATAGTAGGTGAAAAAGTAACCTGTTATATTATAAATTCTATACGTTTATACGTTGCCAGCTAGTTTCATTCAGTAAGTTTATTATATTACGTATGTCGGGGCGTGGCGCAGTCTGGTAGCGCACACGGCTGGGGGTCGTGTGGTCGCTGGTTCGAATCCAGTCGCCCCGACCATTTATGTATGCATTAAGTGGACTCTTATTAAAATGAATCGTATGTTAAGGCTTCTTGGATTGTTATGTTTTCTTTTGTCCTCCTGTAGCTCTCCTTTTCAGACTGAGCAATTACCTATTCAAGCACCTACTTTTATTGGTGGTTTACGTCCAGCAGAGGTGGTTGTGCCGCGAGAATATGACCATAAAGAACGTTACCCACTTATTATCCTTTTGCATGGTTATTCTGCTACTGCACGTCTTAATGATCTTATTTTTCAATTAGAAAGACGTGTAGATATAGCTGATTTTATTTTGTTGCTACCTGAAGGTACTGAAAATCCAGATGGTGATCAATTTTGGAACGCGACGCCAGAATGTTGTGACTATTTTGGTCAAGGAGTTGATGATGTTGTATATCTAACAGCACTTATTGAAGAGGCAAAAGCAACATTGGCAGTAGACCCTCAGCATGTTGTTCTACTTGGGCATTCTAACGGTGGCTATATGGCCTATCGAATGGCTTGCGAATATCCAAAGTTGTTCAAACGTATTGTTGTTGTAGCAGGATTATCTTTTTTGAACCCTCAAGATTGTTTGGGCCAGGATCCTGTATCGTTAGTACATGTTCATGGCACGGAAGATGAAGTTGTTTCTTATGACTTAGGTGCTGATGAGGTCTCGCGCTGGTTATCTAAGGGTGGTTGTGATACAGGTTTTAGTTTGATGGCAACCAAAGATTTTAATAGTGGTCTTATGGGTGAAGAGACAGAGATCCTCATTGTACGGGGACACGAGGTTTGCAACTTTTTCGTGTAAGTAAGTCATAAATATGAAATTTTATTTATGCTTGTATTGTAAATTAATAAAACGGCGTTTTAATTTTAGAAACGTTTCTTAATAGAAACTACTCTTGTCTCATTTAGAGACTTAAAAAGGCGTAAATACCTTGACTTTAGGGTGCAAATTTAGCCCGCAATCTACCCTCTATTATCGTTGTCACATGACCATTAGATCGTGTAATTTTTACCACATACTGACTACTGTTTAACAATGCGGTCTGCTCTTTTGTTGGCTCAAATCTTAATACAGATACAGTCGCTTTCGTCTCTGGATTCGTGCCCTCAAATGTCGATCCCGCCACCTCGACAGAGTCTGTCTTGAAGACGATCGTTGATCCTGATAAATCGCCAAATTCCCCCGTTGTTGATTCGTGAAAATCTATGGCTCTACCTTCTAAGTGATGATAGTCATCACCCTTTACTATTGTGATTGTTTTGTCAACACCAATCGGAGATTGGATAACGATTGTCTTCTTACCAGATATCTGTGTTTGCACTGCTTTAACCTCTGCTGCAGCGTTGTTTAAAGCATCCTGCAAGCCACCTTCAAGAATCTTTTGCGCAACCTCGCCTTCATCTACTTGGATCGTATTAATCGTTCCAACATGTAATAACTCTTGTGCCACATAACCAGATACTGTTGCCTCTATCTTTAAATAGATTTCATCACCTTGTAACCAGTTATCTGGTAGATCTAGTTCCGCAGCAAAATAGCCCACATCTAATTGCGTCAGCGCTACTACTACTGTTGTCTCTATTTCATTACGCAATACTGCAATAACAGGTGTTGCGTCGGGGTTAATGGGCTTACCATCAACCCCGCGCACATAAAATAACCTGCGGATTGTATTGCCAGGACGATACAGCATTAGCCGATACGTGGTACCTGATTTGCGTAAGATACAATCTCGTAATCGTAAACAGCGTGAGCTACGTTGCCATCAACAATTGCTTTTACAAGAATTGAAACATGAGAGCCGACGCTTAACGATGTTGAATCTACTGTAAATTGATACAGACCTGTAATGCTTGCAGGGGTAGTGTCTTGCAACTGACTAACACCTGTTGTTAAAGATGTTGCAGTCCCGTCGACATGCACCTCTTCAATGGTTGGCGTGCTATCTGCATTTACTAACGCTCCTGTGTAATCATACACTGGAAACGTTTCTCTAATATTATTGCCTTGTGCAATCGTTCCTCTACTCATTATTTTTCTCCTATCCTATCTTTGGTTGTTGTAGGTTATTGAAACGATGTTCTAGTTTTACTTCTACTTCTTTAGCTAATAATGCTGGATCAAGCGTCGGTTTTACGGTTAAAAACGAGACAAACGTACCATCTGTAGATGACGGATTTAGGACATAGCTACTATCAATAGCAGTTGCACTATCTGTATTAAAAAAGCCGTTTAATTCAACTCGATCTGTTATGGCTAATACTGAATCACGTCGTAAAAAGACACTTGGACGATTTATCGTAATTTCATCTGATTGAATCTCTACAGATGGATTAGAACCTACCGCTAATCTAGCACGTAGACTATTTTCTCTGCCTAAGACTTGATGAAGAACAGCTTTAATTTGTTCAATATTTAACGATACTGCGGTATTAAATGTAACGTTATATTGATTCGTTGCTAACGACACGTTTATATCTGTCAGGATTGCACTAACATCTAGATTCGTATCGATTGCATCATTTTCGGTCAATTCTGCGATATAGCGAACACCGCCATTTTCTGTGCTTAATTCGCGATATTGAACATCGTAACCTTCTGACCAGATTGCTAATTTAATTGTGCGGTCACGTGGCACTGTATAGACCATACGATCTACATTACTAGCAAATGCTAGTTCAGTTACATTATCTTGATCGTCAATTGATTGAGCTAAGATATTAAAAGCACCCTCATGTGATACAGATACAACCACCCGAACACCTGCGCTATCCTCAATAACCCCAGAAACCGTTACACCGTTTGCTGCAAAAGTTCCTGTACCGCAATCTATTGAACCGTCAAAGCTAGCGTCTGCATAATCTGTATTAGTCGCTCCGGTTTTAATTGTGATTGTGTTTGTGCCTGCGTCATAACTTATTGGAGCCGCATTATTGTACGTGTCAATCTCTGCTTGTGTTGGGTTTTCTGGCAAGGCTAGTCGCACCAAGTTGCGGTTATTAGTAATTAGCGTGTCGCCAGACCTGTCAACCAAATCGCCTGGCAGCGTAAGATCTGTGGATAATATTTTTTGAATTTCGTCATAGGCTACTCTCGCATTATTAGCTTCCGCAATCGTACCAGTACTGCTCCATTTTTCATCTACTAGCATCTCTTTAATTACAACAGGATTATTCATTGCTAGGTTATCAACTTTTATCTCCTGATAGCCCGCTCTTCTGATTAAGTAACTAATCTGGTTTCTTGCTGATGAGGTCGTATCGCCGACTGTTCTTACTAGGCAAGGAATTACTTTTTTACCAGCATAATAAGCTAGCTCGGTTGTGCCATCGTTGGCGTATATTTTTGTATTAGCATCTGTTAGATTTTTATTGTGTTGCTCCGTATTGGTACTATCTGTTACTCGTATTTTTGCATCATCGTGCGCAATTACTGTTACATCAATCGTAAAATATTCTTTTTGATCATTAGAACTACCACCTCCCGATCTCCTTAACGATAACAAGTTATTTACCACACCCTCATAGACAGGATCGTAAATCCGTCCATGGGACGTGCTTTGTGTACCTTTTAAAAACACTAATGTGCCAGTAAAATTTTTAGTTCTAAATGCGGGCAAAGAGGTAAAGCCGCTGTGACTACGAGCTGGATAAATATTTAGCGTTGCTGAATTGGATGATTTTACATCGAGGGTAACGTTTGCGTATTCGCGATTAGCAAACTGCACATAGGCATTGCCAGAGGTCATATCAAAAATAAATCTAGCAAAACCTGAAAACTGATTCCTTGCGTTTTCTAAATGACTATAAACACTACCTGAGCCCAAAAACACAAACGTAATATCTGTCGCTGTAAAGCCGCCGCTAGCCCCCGCAAAGTCAGCTCTACCGTTATTAGGTTTCGCAACAAAAACAAGCCCTGTCGCCTCAACAGTACCAGCCATAAAAGAATGATTTGGATTTCCATCGTAGACAATATGTGTATTATCTCCAACCTGCCAGGTTGCGTTAGAGCCAATATTTAATCTACCGTTTGTCGTATTGCCGTCTAGGTAGTAGATTGCACCCTTGTCGGCTCTGCTGTCCCTGGTTCCTGAGCTTAAAGTAGAGAATGTTGTGTTATGTATTGCCATCTAGTTAAGTACCTCATTTGGCCAAAGAAGAGACCCTAAAATAACAGCACCAATAAAAATACAAGCTGATACAAACGTATTAAGTGTGACATCAAATCGCCAGCACAAAATACTACCGACGAGCGACAACAACACAATGACACCAAAAGCAATTAGACGTTGATTTGCATAGGGTAAATCAACTGCAATAAAGAAATGTCCACATAAAGCACCACAAAACAAAGGCAAGATAAACCAACCGTCATGTGTCCATTGCCGCATAAAATAACTGATTGTATCGTGCTTTTGTTTATGCAGAAATGGAACAATATCCCATAACAGACCTAACACTAAAAACAGTGGCAAAATTGCTCTAGAGAGCCAATAACTTGACGATTGCTGCCTAGCTGTACATACCTATACATCTTCTAATCCCTAACTCTTGAAAAGATCTGAAACCAAAAAGAATAATCGACAGGACTACCTAAAACCGTTGTTCCGCTAAATAAATATGATTTTAAAATTTGAATTTCGAATCTACTGTTAGCAGCATTTCGTTTTGCTCGTATGGTAATTACATCGTTATTGCCTGTATATTTGATGCCTACATTTAACAGCACATGACCAACTGAATTAGGAAGACCAAGAGACGGTAGAGCAATATGGTAGACACCTGTCCCATGCTTACGAACTTGAGTATTTTGCTCGCCTATTGTGCCTGTATCAAACGCCTGAGTACCTCTAAAAACAACGCCACCGGTATCTGTACCTGGTGGATCACCATCAGAGCCGGTCGCATCTGCTTTTACTGCTTTAGAGGCCAGTAAATACAGATCAAATTCTATAGCTGTTTCTATTTGTTGATCTGCTATCTCTTCAATAGCCTGCCTAACTTGTGTTGTATCATTAGCGTCAGGTGTCAATCCTGCATGCTCAATTAACCCGACAAGCTCTTCTTGTGTTTGATTACGATCTGTTGCCAGTAAGGCTGTACCTTCAACACCACTGGCTAAATCACGATCTACATAACGATTATTAACATGACCTTCTGCTTCTGTTCGGTCCATTTCTTAACCTCCTCGCCGGTCGTCGTAAACAATAAGAATGCTTGGACGTTTAATGCTGTCGATATGGCATCTCAAAATATCTAAAGCGTTACTACCTGCTGTAATAACAAGCCTAAGAACACGTACTTGATCAGACTTACTACAAACAGCAGTACCACAGCGTGCTGTACCGCAACGCGCACGATCAGGATCAAAACGCTCAAGCGTTGTCGTAAATCCAAGCTTTTCTGCTTGATCAATTAAATAGCCTTGACTAATCGCACCAACAGCTGAAAACCGCGCCCTAACAGCAGCTTGACGCTCTTGTATTGTCGGTGCAATACTCAAACACGCATCAGGAAGCTTCATAGCGCTTTCCCAGTCCGCTAATGTATGTGTTGGTTCATTAAAGGGCAGTTCATTCCAAAGCTTTAACGCGCGATTATGAACACGTACAAATTCACCTGCTAGCCCTTCGCAAAATTGATATAAGCGCGAGCCACGAAACTTAGCCCAAGCATCACCGCGAGGTAGTAGCTTTAATAAAACACTACGGTACTGACTTGTTGTTGAACTCATGTCCAAGTAGGTATTCCTAGTGTTGCGATTTCTGTGTTTGTTGTTGTGACATCTTCTGTTGGTGCTAGCAGTACATGACCATATTCACCAACGGCACGACTAATAGCTTCTTGAATCCATTCACGTCGAATTGTGACACCAGGACCTGCACGTAAGGCAAGCATATCTTTAAGTTCTGAAATAACTGCTGCCTTAACGGTATCTTCGTCAGCACCAGATTCAGGAATAAGTTCAATTTCGGGATTAATTGGTACGCCCGCCAGGGCGTAGACCACAATAATGTCACCTAGTGGCCAAAAATCATCATCGGTTAAATGACCATAAAGCAGATCAAGTTGTGCTTGAGTTGGGATAATATCGTCAGCATCGTCAAGTAGTCCCGTGACACCTACGTGGCCAACGCCGCCATAATTTGGCGTTACAAATACGCGAGTAAATCCAGTTACTTCAAGTGCGCGTAATCGATAATCAGTAACACCACCGCCCTGAGGTGGTGCCGCTAGACGCACAAACAGCCGTTCGCGTAGCGCCTCGTCTGTCTCTAAATTAAAACCATCTACATTGTTTGCACTATCTAAAACGACAGCCTCACCATCAATACCTGAAATGGTCGTTGTTAAGCTTAGCTTGCTACCTGCAGCAACATTACTAGCACTGCCTGCAACTGTTGCATTTACAAGAACCGTGGCCGAACCATTAGAGATCGTCGTAGCGCTGGCAGTCTTGAATTCGTTGCCATCTTCATCCACATAACTTATATCTTCTGACAATATAGCGCCGTCAGTACCCGTAATTGTTATCTCACGTACTGTAAAGCTAGGTGCTTTACGATAGATACGAAAGACGCGACACCATAGTTCTAACCAGGCTCCCGTTGCGGTTTTAGGTGATAATTGTTTGGCAAAACGCTCAATAAAACCATAAAGACCATAAACAGCACCTGCATACGCAAGACTAAAAACAGCAATAAGTCGTCTTCTTAAAATACTTCCTTCTGTACCTAATGCCGCATTAATATCGCCCTTAATGCGGCTATCAATTTCGCGTATTGTTGGCTTTTCAAATATCGTCATGCCACACTCCAGAAAGATTCAAAGCGGTACTTATGGGGTGTATCTTCGCGTCTTTCAATCTGAATTAAGCTACAGAGACGGTAACTGCCAGGTGCTTCTAATTGTTCTGCAGTAACGTCTATTTGAATACCCGCAACAATACCATCATCAAGCAACCACTGTAATGCTTCTTGTGTGTAATCTTTCCTGCGAGCAGTAGCATCCTGAACATTTTTAGCACCCTCTACAAGCCAAGTTCTTGATCCAATTAAATCACCTGGTATGTCACTGTAAGAATCACCCCACCAGCCACGACGATCTGTTGTGCCATCTGGAAGTTCATCATCCTCATCTGCAAGTCTGTCTGTGCCGATACTCAAGATAATAGCGGTCGCCAAACCGTCATCCGTTTTTAAGTCGCCGTTCGCTAGAACATCGCCGCCCGCTAGGGTATCGCCGTCCGCTAGGACTAAGTCCCAGAAACCTACGCTTTCGTTAAATTCTAAAGCTAGATCAGTCATAGAACTGTACCTGGCGACGTTGTGGTTCCAGTTTGACTAACAGCACTTCCTGTTGTTGAAACAGCAATGCCAGCAGGTACCTGTGCATTGGCTTGAATATGAGCAATAACTGCCGTTGCAATGGCATTGCAAATAGCTTGAAAGCGTGGTTCAGCTCCAGTTACGAGTTCAAAATCAGCAGTAGCCTTAATGGCTGCTTGTATTTCAGAACCTAGCGATGTTGCATTAAGCGGCACTACGCTGACCCCTTAATGGTATTAAGTTCAGTTTTTAATTGCGTTAACGTTGTTTGTGTTGCTGGATCTAGAGGTTGATTGCCCATCAGCGTTGCTGTTGTTGCTGACTGCAAAACTGCAATTAGACGATCTACAATATCTAATAATTCCGCAGCGCTACTGCTACCAATAGCTACTTTTGCTTCTGGTAGATTTTTAATACGACTATTTTTATCTACTGCTGCAATCACAACTAAATCATCTGGATCAGATCCAACTTGCAATAAATATACTTCACTACCAAGCGGTGGATGTGCGTTAAAGCCATAAGGATAAACTGCTAGCGCATCGCGATCTTGATCACCGTTAAAACGTATTTGCTGTTTTTGTGTATCGTGCTGATCTTGGACAGCGACAAGCGTAGCTCTACGAAATAGATTATTTAATCTATCTTCAAAAGGTTTTAGCATGCGCTCGACATCATCTAGCGTTATTGCGCCCACAAAACACCTCCTACTGGTTCCGATTGTTCCATGGGACTTAGAGCTTCTTTAGGCATTAACGACAGACGTGATACTAAGCCATCCTGATCATTAAAGATATACTCAACTGTTGTAATAAGTAGTTCTTGATCTATGCCTAAATACTGCTGATCTCGAAGACGTATTAAACGATTCACAGGCCATGGATTTTGTGCTACATCGTCCATTGTCCAGCCTGGTGCTGTAATGACATACCGTCTAGATTTACCGCTAGCAACATTTCTGCGCCAGGTCGCTAGTGTTTTTAAACGCTCGTGATCTGCTTGTGCTTTTGCATGTACGATAGTTGGTCGGTAGCGACCTATAGCGTCATCTTTAGCCTCAACAACAAGATCGGTACGATCTTTAGGAGATAATGCTAAATCACCATTTTGAGCTTTAGCACGGTAAATACTAAATCGACGTAAAAAACTAAACCGTCCAGTTGCTTTGACGATATTAACACCAGATTCTAAAACAGATGCTAATCGTTTACTGCTAGCTTGCGTTAAAACAAGATCGCCTTGATGATTTGCTGTTAAAAGTAGACCACGATAACCCGCAACACGAGCTAGCGCCTGCTGTACGGTTTCGCCATCATTTAAGCTAAATGTTGCTAGTGGCTTGCCAGGATCAACCTCTGCAATAACGTTAATACCAAATGGTTTACAAAGATCTGTTGCGATATCAAAAACAGTACGTTTTTTCCAAGTGCCTGTGCCATAGATCGCAGCACAGTCAACAAGATCTCCCGTCTTACTACGACCGGTAAGCGTAACACGATAGTGTTTATCGTCATACTCAGGAACAACGTCATCAATGTAGCCTGTAATAATCTGTTTACCTAAAACATAGATCTCGACTTTTGTTCCACAATAGAGTTTTTTTAAGCCTTGATTTTGTTTTCCGATCGTATCAACAGCTGTAATATTAAAAGCGCCTGAGATTGCTTCAATCGTATGCGTAACATGAACGGTCTGCCAAGCATTAAAAACTTCACCATTTGCGACAAGCTTTAAGTCAAGCATAAGCAACCACCTTAAGATCTTGGCCAGCGCTTATAATGTTTGGATTTTCAATCTGGTTACGCTGTACAATCTCATCAGCTCTCGTTGCATCAGCGTATAAGCTATGTGCTAACACAAGAGCTGGCAGTGGTGAACTTGGTGCGTAATTAACAAGTTGCGGTAGTTTTAATGCCCGTGCATTAAGATCTTCAATCAGGGCAGCTTGTAGATCTTGTAATGCAAACAGAGTTGTATTTGAAATAGGTATTTGCTTACCCGTTAAATCGGACTCTGTTTCAAGGATCAGGTTACGTATTTGAGTCGTAACAAGATCACGATCAGAGACAGCCTCATCAAAAACATCGTAGTCTTGTTTGCTGACAGCACGAACTTGTTCTGCAACGCTAATGCGTTTCATTAATTGAACAAGTGCTTCTTGATTAACGCGGGCTTGTCTTCTGCGTGGCGTATTACCAATAACGTTGGGTAATGTGAGCAGAGACTCAATAGCGTACAAATTACTAAGGGCTGCGCGACTTAATGTATCTGGTGTCATGACAGCCAGTGTCACGATAAGGGATCTTATACTATCAGCTAAATTAGCAGGCTGTGTCAGTAGATTCGCAATGCCAGAATTTAGTGTTTTAATATTGCTTTCAAAGCTAGCTGTAAGATTAGATGTTGCTGCTAGTGGTGCAGCAATGCCTTGCAAAATACCTGTTGTTGCACCAATAACTGTTGTGGCGTGATTTGCAGCAAAGCCCGTTTCAGCACGAAACTTATCTGCAAAATCAGAAAGAGCAGCTTGAATCAACTGATCAGCTCGCAAATCAGATACACCTTGTGTATCAGGTGTAATATCAGGAAACGCGATACGCTCTGCAATAATCGTAAAAGGAATTGTAAAGGTTGAGCGGCCACCTTGTGTGTCAACGTCTTCGCTAACGGTTGCAGGATCGTAGACGACAGCGGTAAGTAGTCCTAATGTTGGATGAACTAATCTGCCTGGTGTATCTTTTTCTAGAGCTTTGATTAGCTGACTACGTTTTGCAATATAGCTAGGCTCAAAAACCGAACAGCGCACCCGCAGACGCCAAGCCCGTTTTCCAAATCCCTGCGCAACAGGCAATGGTACTTGATCTTGCGATGCGGGCAATTCTATGATTTGCCCTCTAGCACCAATCTGAATAGAGCCGCCATGATAGGCAAACTCAATTCCTCGAAAACTACCTGGACGGTATTCGTCTCGCCAGGTCATTCGAGAACTCCATGCTGGACAGTAATATTAGCTTGCGTAGCTGAGGTTGGTCGAACAGAGGCATTCGCGGTTAGGCCATCTGCTGCACCAACATTAACATCAACAACTAAAGGCTCTCTACCTTTACCGCCAAACAAGGCACTGTCTGCACCTTCACGAAGTACATCAATAACTTCACCAACAAATTCTTTTGCGACAAAGCCGCCACCAAAAGCCCCAGCAAGACTAAGGGCACCGCCAAGAATACCACCAACAGCAGTGCCAGCACCAGGCACAATCGAGCCAAGCGCCGCACCAAGGGCTGCGCCACCAAAGACACCTAATCCTGCGCCAGCCGTCTTAGCAGCAACTTTAGAAATATCGCCTGCCTTATCAATAAGATGACCTTCCTTACTGGTTGCAATCTTATACGTATCGACCGCACCAGAAAAGACAGCGCTAGCAGCTGCCATTGTGGCAGCAGATCTAGCAAAGGTTAAAGCTTGTGTTGTTGCTGCGTCAAGACCGCGCTTACCTGTACCAGTAAAAACACCACCATTTACAGCACCACCGCCTCCAGGTGCGCCATTTACTACCATCACAGGTAAAGGATTTTCAACGCTGTAACCGCCAGGCGCTCCTGGCAGGCCTGTCGCACCTCCTAAAAAATCACCATGGGCTTTACTAAATTTTGCACCGATTCCTAATGTAGTGGCAGTACCTAAAAAGACACCAAGCCCACCTGCCAGTCTCTCTGGATCAATAGCACTGATAGCATCAGCTAAACGTGTAAGTGGTCCTGCTAAGTTTTTATCTGCAAAACGTTGAAAGACATTACCTAATTGCGTTAGAGATGCGCTTAAACCTTCTGCATTTCTTCGTGCATCGTTAAGTAAAATACTTGAATCACCAGCAACACCATAAAACTCTTCGACACTTTTTAAGGTGCCTGTATTTTGAAACTCAATAGCGAAAGCACGCAGACCGCGTAATGCCTGAATATCAAAAACTTGGCCAAGCAGTGTCGTGTCGCCCTTGGTTGCCTTAATAATATCTTTGACAATTTCTGTAAGCGGCCTTGCGACCCGAACGCCTTCTTTAATCTTTTGTGGATCAAAGATCTCAATACCAACACCGGTAAGCTCCTTAACCTTATCGATTGTAATAGCATCAAATAGTCGCTCAAAAGCTGTTGTGGCTTGCTCTGATGAGCCAGTTGATTGTCTAATAATTTGTATGAGCGCACCAACTTCTCTTGCTGCCTCAACACCACGTCGCCCTGTGCCTGCGGCACTGGCAAAGATGCGCTCAGACAATGCTGCAATATCGCGTAACTCAAAAGCACCGTCTTTACCTTGTTGCGCCAATATCGATAAAACTTCTAAGACCTCTTGCGGTCCTCGAAGGTCAAACTTCTGAATCAGATCTGCAATTGTACTACCAACATCACGACCCGCTGAGCCCGTTGCCCGCATAACAAGTGCGATATTGTGTAAATTTTCCTCTGCAACTTGAAGGCCAGCACCTTTTGTAACAATCTCCTCAACAGCAAAGAGTAGTTCATTTACTTGTAACTTAAACTGTGGATCTAGAGCAGTATTGAAAAGCGTATCTTTTAGTTTCTGCATTTGGCCATCGGTAATACCTGCCTGATTGGCAAGTAGTCGCATGCGTGTGTCAAGATCGGCAATATCGCGAACGGCCTTTGCAGCTGCAGCACCACCTATAATTGCAGTGTAACGATTAGCAAATCTATCCAACCCTGCATTAACACGACCAGCTAAACGATCAAGGCGACTAAAAACACGAGCACCTTGATTTGCTGCATTACTTAGATTTTGACCAATACGTTTGCCAGCAGTGGCTGCATTGTCATTAATCCGAACAAAGACTTCTGCGGTTCTGCTAGGCATTTAAGTAACACCCCGCAAGGCAAACTGAGCGCGTAGTGCATTGACATGCACAAAAAATAGCGGTAGTTCTAAATCAACCGTTTCTGCGCGCGTCCAACCAGTATGAATAGCTAACAGCTGCACGCCCGCTATGACGTAACTGACCCAGCGGGCTGTTGCTCCCCCAGCTTAGCTAAATTCTCCAGTGTTGTTGGTCCTAGCGTATAAGCAATTTCAACAAGATACTCAAATTCATGCCCTGGCATCTTCGCTAGTGCCGCCTGAGTAACTGCTGTCAAGTCATCTCTCTCGCCAACACCTTGAACCATAATTTCTACCAGCTCTTTACCAAGCAGCACATTACTAACCTTAGCTACGTACTGCGGATTCTTTTCGGTACCTGGCACTAAAAACAGACGCTCCGAGTTAAGGGTGGCATTCATAACGTCCTGAGCTGTAAACTGCTTTTTGATCCAAACTTTTTTATATGTCGTATTACCAACCGTAATACCTGTCTCTAGCTTAACTAAGCGCAAATCTGGCATTTTACAAATCCTCCGCTGGTGCACTATAGATATCAACAGGCACGACACCACCGCTCATATCGGGCGTTGTTGCGTGTTTGACTTTTCTCATTTTGTACACCTGTCCAGTTGCTAGAGCTTCGATTGTGATATTTTTACCTGCTATTGCCCGGAATTCTGCAAGGCTAAAACCAGCATCAAGCACCATATTGCCTTTAAGCGTTGCAGGCACTTCCCGATCAGTGTGATTTCGGCCAGCTTTGCCATCGGTGCTTACATCTTCTGAAACAATGCCACCAGGATTAAAGGTAACGCTATCGGTCACCATCTCTTCAGGGACACCTTCAACTTTTATAATTAATATGTTTGCGTTTTTACCAACCATAATATATAGCGCCTCTACTTAACAATGGGTTGAACACGGGTTAATACTTGACGAAATTGACCAATAAGGTGTGGTGGCAAAATCATTGCTGCCTGCGTATCGCTTAAAGCAATGGCACGTAGATCTTTTTTATATTGATCACGATCTTGCACTAAGACTTCATCAAACCAATCATCAAACTGAAATAGTGCTTCTGCTTTTAAGACATTAGGTGTAACAACACGTTTACCAGGGCCGCCTGCGTTGTTATCGCTTGCAAATTTCCAGTCAGCAAATTTTAAATGAATGCGTCGTTGCCAGTCGTAGCGCATAGCTTGCAACATACGCATAACAACAAAGTCACGGAACCGGTAATCATCTTCACCTGCGCTGTTTCGTTTATAGGTTGCTCTTAAGCGCTCAATGCGAAGCTTACCAAAATCATCAACGTAAAATGTACTTAAGCCTGCTTGAAGTTGTGCTTCTCGTTCCGCTCCTGTAAATCGATGCTCTTCATTTGGTACCAAGGTATTTGGAACAACTTGTCGCTGGCAAGGTCTACCAACTTCAATATCGTTAACATTTGTCTCTATTGCACCAACACGAGCTGCAACCTCCCATGGTGTTGCAGGAATATTGCTTGGCAGACTAAGTGGACAAATAAATTGTGTATTTAAACCTTCAGCTAATGTTGTGTTTGCTGAGTGGGTACCAAAGACAGGAACCATCATGACGCTATTTAGGTTTTCGTCATCACCCCAACGTCGCTGCAATTCTTCTTCCCAATCAGATAACGCTTGCGAATCGGAAAAAGGCTGCACAATTAATTCATAGGGACTGTCACCCATAACAGCCGTAATCGTTGTAATGTCAATAACGCCACTACCAGCGGTGCCGTCAGCAATGGCCAGGCTAATACCAGCAGGTAATGTTTGATTATCTTCGTCTTGACGGTAGTTAACACGCACGTCATGGTGATTACCATGAACACCTTTATGATTAGCGCTTAAGGTCACAACACCACTAGAAACACTACTTGTCATTTGCAGATCTGTGCGTGCCGCTAGTGCAGTCTGTACAGCTGTAGCAACATCCGCTGCCGCGTCGCCGCTGGCAACGGAAACAGGCACGTAGATGCCATCTATATATAGATGAATGATACCTGCCTCTGTTGCGGTACCTGTAAATGTCAGTGTTTTTGTTGCTTTAGTACCAGAGCTAGGCTCATCTACTGCAATACAGGTAACCTTAAATCGTTGGTGAATCTCCCAAAACGCCGCAAACTTTTTAGCGAGCATGGAAGTTGCGCCAAAATAGTCTTGGGCTTGGCTAATACGTGTTGGTTTCCTAGGTGTTAAAGCCGCAACACTACCATTACTAGACCGGTACCCAACAAGCAGCACGCGATTTGGACGGTTGCCTGTCTCTATCTGTGTTGCGCTTTCTGCAATCTCTTGCAGGACGCCAGGCCTTAAGATGTTAGCCGACAAGGTATCAAAGGTGATTGTCGTCATGAGGTTTTACCTTTCTTTGATTTCGTAGGTTGTTTTTTAGACTCCGTCTGTGTTGACGATGCAGCCTGCGCTAGCAGCAGCAGGTCGCCTACCTGAATGGCACGTTGTGCCATTGTTGTTCGCCTAATACGTGCACCTTTCTCAGGTACCCCGCTTGGGTGATCAGGTAGTTTTACGGTAATGCCTGCTCTTGGTACATAAGTACCTCTGAGTAATTTCTGTGGCATGTTATGATTCCTCCTGTAAATTAATACTGTCCTGTGCTGCTGGCGCAGTACCTAGTGCTGGCTCCAACTGATCAGCTGGTGCAGCAGCACTATCGTAGGGCAGCGGTGTTTCGTCACTGACACCTTCGCCGCCTGGATACCAATCTGTTTGCAATGATTCAAAATCACCAAGGGTGCTGCAATCTGGGAACTTACCGGTAAACTCATGGCTCCAGAGTGTTGACCAAAGCGCTACGCGCTTTGTGCCTACTTTTCCGTTAAAAAGATTTCGCTGATTAATGTCTTGAGCGTCATTAATATCAAGACCAAAATCTTGGCCAGCTAAATTTTTTCCAGATAAATAGATAGCTAATTGCTGAACAAGGTCAAGGGCTAAATCATCCGCATCAACACCAGCACCATGTACCGTAATTAAAAAGGCAGCAAAATCACCGCGCTGTTGTGTTGTGCCAGCGGTTGTTTGAATAATATCCGTACTAGAAAGACAAGACACAAATAGTGCTGGCGCTTTAAAGGAGCGACTTAAAGCTTGACGCAAGTCAAATCGTCCACCCCACTTGTCAACTGTTTTTAGTGTCGTAAGCTCAGTCTTAATGCCAGCAATGGCAGCGTCACGAATTTCTCTTAAGCTAACCTGGCTCATGTGCGTACCTCATTCATGTGAGCGCCTCACTCATGTGAGGGCCTGCTGCAATCTTAAGGTGTACCAGTCTTGTAAGACTAGCGAAATCGTATCTAATTCTTTGCTACTAACCCCCAAATACTCACGCTGCAAAATACCGCGATCTGGATCACCAAATTGATGGGTAGCTGCGTAAATAAGTGTTGAGCCTGCGCCCGCACCATCTGTGGCAATAAAGCCTTGAATATCATCTTCAAGATCACCGCCTAGGCGTAGCAGTGTATGCTCTGGATGTTTTGGGCCATAATCTGGATCTTGCCATTCTGGCCATAAACTACCGTCAGGTGCAGGTCCACCACTGGCAATGCGCTCACGAGCTGCTGTTTCAAGTAGGCCTGCAATTTGCCATTTAACGTTTGCGTCATCGATCTTAAGCTGTTCGACGTCACGGATTAAAGACCGTAGCTCGCGATCATCAAAAATAACAGCTGCCCCAGTCATAAAACAGGCACCCGTAAAACTACTTGCAAGCAGATTGCAAAGACAGATAATGGTTGTTGCAAGATACGTAAACACATTAAAAACCCTGTAACCTTTGACGGCCCATAACGCGCTCTTGGGCACCAACAGTGACCGCGCCACCAACGGTAGGCGCTGGTTCGTCATGAAGCTCTGCTAGAGCTGCTTGCCCTTTGGCGATATTTTTTAAATGTTCAATGTGGTCTCTATAGGTTGCGACCATGTCCTCTGTACGTTGATCTGGACCTGTTGCCATGTAATAGATCGCCATATCGATACACATTTGTTTTAAGATCTCTGGCACAGGATTAAGAGCCTGTACCTCTTTAATGTCGTAACGTGCAGCAAGATGACTATCAATACGACTACTAGCACGCTCAAGATAAACATCTGGATCTTGCACATCGTCGCCATAGCCAGACTGAACAATATCTAATAGATCCTGTCCAGCTTGATCAACAATATCTTGAATGGTGGCATAGGCCATAGAACTACCTAGCCCTTACTGTCTTTTGCCAATTCAACGCCGCCAATAAGTACACGTAGTGACGTATCAGCACTTAATAGATCGCGTTGTTTTCTACTTAACTTGATGGCTCCTAGCTCATTCCAGCCATGTTGAAACTGGAGACCAGCACGACGTCGTTGTGGTGTCTCACAAAAAACACGAACTACTTGAGGTTTAGTACTGCTTGCTTTTGGCGCGTCAGTATCGGGATCTGGTTTGTCTCCCTGTTGTTCGGGCTTCTTTGTGTCTAGCTCTGTTGCTTTTGGCTCTTTTGGTGTAGCTGTCTTTTTTGGTGCTCGAGACCGCCTAGATTTACCCTGCGTGCTAGCGTTTACTTTTTTTGTTTTCGGTGTTTTAGATTTACTTTGCGTATCTGCGGTTGCCTGATCCTGCCCCGCAGGTTTTGTTCCTGTAGGCTCTTTTGTATCTGGTTCTTTTTCTTTTGATGTTTTACCTTGCTCTGTCATCTATTTTTCCTTATGTCTTTTTTTAAGATCTAAAACAGCCTTACCCTCAAGGGTAAGGCTAGCTCTTTAGGAATGTGGTCTTAATTTAAGTAAGGCTCAACAAGAAGTTCTGTTGTTCCTGCGTATTTATTGGTTGCACCATTTGCTAAACGATCAACTTCTACGACTTCTTTCGCTGCACCCTCAAGTGCTGTTGGTACAACAAGCAGTGTTGGTACAATTCCTAATGGATCACCTCCGTCTGCAGTAACAGACATCATTGCTTGACGTGCGGCCTCGTAGTTTTCTGCTGTTAGCGGTTGATTGCTAGCGTAAGCAAGCTGCCAAAACGAATACCCAACATTAACGCGAGCATCAACACCATAAAGATATTGACGGTGCATAAAAACGTTAGGATCCGTTTCGTTAAAGAGGGCTACAAAATTGTAGTCTTTGCGGACTTGGAAAATAAGCGGTTTTACAAATTGACTTGTATCAATGAGATACCAGTATGGACCGTTGCCGCCTGAATCAATATTAGAGACACTTTGAGAACGACCATTTGCATCAAGTACCGGATGATCTGTGTCAAAGAAATTTTGTCCATCAAAACAAGGTTGCAAGTGGCCATTTTTTAATGCGCTAAAAACAAGTCGACCAGGATGTCTGGCTGCCGCCTGACCCATTGCTCTAGCAACGAGCGCAAACTGACCAAGCTGGTTATCTTCAAATTTATTGCGATCAATTGGAATAGTGTTTTCAAAATCTTTGTTAACAATTGAGTAGGCATGTTGCAATAGAGTTTTAATGACACGTTCACCCACCCATTCACGAAGTCCAGGTATAGCTCCAAGCCAGCTGTAATCCTCAGCGGCGGCGGTGCTTGGCACACGTTCAGCAACACGCTCCCATTGTGCTTTTACAGCTTGCAATCCCTTAAGGTAACTACCGTTAAGGTTTCGGTATACTTCTTGTAGTGTTTCAGCATTCACAACAATACCTGCTGCTAAAAAGCCAAGTAGATGTTCAATGCCAAAATCAGTTAACAGCTGAGGTGTTAGGGTTGCGCTGGCAGCAATTGCAAAATCGCCTACCAGGACAATCGCAAACGTCCATATACATAAAAAAAGCTTACTCATGTTTTTTCTCTCCTACGTGGATCATTAATCGTCGTTTTCTTCGTCACTTCATTTATTGTTTACAGCTGCACGCCAGGGTAAATTTTTACCCAAACGCGGTTACCATCAACACCGGTAACCACACCAGCAACAGGTCGCGCGTTACTGTTATGGGTTTTAGCTACGCTCTGATTGTCAACGACATAGCAGAAGCTACCGATATCAGCGGCTACAATTTCATCTGCGCCTGTACTGTTTTCAAACAGAAATTCACCGCTAACAATATCTGTATCAACACTACCTGCGGTACCGTCTTGGTTATCGTAGGCTTGATTAGACATGCCAAGTGGCTTTAGGGCTGCTGTTTCGCTACCCATAACCGCATGACCATTTGCATCAAGCATGGCAATAGTGCCTGCGGGTACTTTAATATTTGATAGCGGCACGCTATAGCGCGCTCCTAGCGCTCGCTGCTGTGTTCCTCTGTCTAAAGTTGTGGCTGGCATATACGTATCCTTTTAGCTAATTAATCTTGTTTTAAGCGTTTCGTTTGTTAATATCTTCAACGCTCTTTTGGTATTCTTCTGGTGTTAAATCAAACATTTGACGCATTTCGTTCTGTGCACTGTTTAGAGATAGGCTTCCTGCTTCAGGATCTGGAACCTTTGCCTCTGGTGCGATTTCGGGTGTTGCATCAAAAAGCGCTGGCAACTGTTTAATAACAGCGTGATTAAGATCTAAAACAGTTCCAGATTCATCACGATTCATTGCCATGTCTTCGTACTGCTTACGTGTTGCAGGTGTAATCTTCTTCTGCTCGACAGCATCATCGAGTATTTTTGTTAGCTCAGCTGTTTGCTGACCTAGCTTTTCCCGCTGAAGCTCTTCCTTAACTTCATTAAGTTCTAGCGTTAAGGCTGCACTTTTTTTCTGTTCGTCTTTAAGGTGTGAAACAGGTACATGATTTAAGTCAAGTGTTGTTTCTTGAGTACGACTGTTTTTGAGTTCACTGATTGCAGCAACAGCATCAGCAGGTGTTGCGTCAGCATTTAGTGATAACGCTGCTAAAATTTCAGGATCCATGCAAGACTCCTCATTGTTTAATTGGTTTAAGATTGCGCTATTGAGCGCCATATTTGGTAAGTTTGGAGCATTTGTTAGAGCAACAGAATGCAAGGATCGTACACGTCCAAGACGGTCACGACGAAACACAGGACTTAAAAAACGGTATTCACGTTCTTGGACAGAACGCTTACCAGCTTCATTAAGTGCTAGTCGTCCTTCGACAGCACCCTCAGATGTAACACGCACTTCTTCAATCCAGCCACGAGCTGGAGATTATCTTCACCTTTATTACCCTTAAGTACAGTTGCGTGGTTAACGTCTAGAGGGATTGCTTGTTCAAACGCCTGCTTAACAGCTTGCGGTGTTGGGTTACTAAACCGTCTCCCGTCTTGGCCACTAAAATTACCTGCGGGCACAAGAGTATGCCAGCGCTCATTTTCTGATGCTGTTACTTCAAAATTAAGCGATAGTGATACGGTATCGTATTCTAGTGCTGTTTCTGGCTGTGGTTTTGTCATACCACCATCGTCCCACGGGATATGGACGATTTATAGTGCAAGGTTGCACTATTTTAGTAGCTAGGTGTGACGGTAGAAAAATAGACCTAAGTCACCATGCCAGTCGTATGGTATTTCGTCAATTTAGGTGCATTTTTGCTAAAAAAGAGAGAATTGAATGAGGGGCGGTTTTAAATGTTGTTGCATGTACGTTGCAAATCCCCTGCATCCATTGCAAGATTTTTAAAACTATCGTTGCCTAGGTTTAAAAAGATATGGCGTTTAAGGGCAGATTTGGGCGCTAATCACTAAAAATAAGTCGTTAGCTAATTTTCTATCCTAAAAAGTTTATCATTTTGAGATAAGCGAAGAACAATATTTTGTTGATTGTTTAATGTATCAGGTAACTTATCTTGAAGAATTGACGTAATAAATTGAATACCAACCTGATCAACATATTGGCCAATTTTAATTAGTTGATTATCATGCATCAATTCTTTTTTATCAGTCAACAGGAAATGCATACAGGGGATTGTATTTTCATCAGCATAAAGGATATATGCAATATCAAAACAAGAGACTTCACCTTGTTTTTTGCCTGAACTAAAGTTCAAACTAAAAACTCTAAACCGATAAATATTTCGTTTAGATTTTTTATGCTCAACTATATCCCAAGTTAAACCATATTCTTCTCCATAAAGTTTTCTCGAGACTTCAGAAAAACATGTATTAAATTTGTTGATTTTCACCTCTAACTCTTTTTTAAATGAATCAGAGAAAAAGTAATCATCTATCCCATCTAAGTCTTTAGACAAACGCTCAATCTCATCATCAACCTCTATAATCTGTTTTAACTTTTGCTCTAATTCTCCTCTAATCTTATGCTTTTCGTTCAATTCAGAAATAATACTCTCTAGTTCTTCAAAAGCATCACCTTTAGTCATCCAATGCCGTAAACGTATTTCCTCTTTCTTAAGCTTATCTACAGAACGATAGAGATCACTTATCTGAGTTTCAAGCTCTGGTAATTCTTTGGAAATAAAATCATATTGGTTTTTTAACATATCATTATGATAGGTTTGAAGATCAGAAAATGTCTTTTGCAACTCTGGAAAAAAACCTTGGGCTTGCTGGTATATTAGACGTAGCTTATTAATGTCTACCTGGCTATGCTGTTCTTTTAAATCATGTTGTGATTCAAAAATTAGCTCTCGCCATAACTCTTTCTGTGCAATTTGGGAAGACAACATATTTACTTCATAGTTAATCTCACTAATTCTAGTAATTGCCGTTTCACGATCTTTTGTTAAGCTAAGGCTTTGCTTTCGAGATAACAGTTTATTAATTTTGTTGTTATTAAGGGCAATAGCCGCCTGATATGTCTGCCGTGTCTCACTTGATTCAAGCCGTAATTTAAAGCTCTTTTCTAGACTTAGCTGTTGCAAAAAATTCTGCCTAAGTTCGGACTTGTCATTTGGAAAGCCAAGCATAAACATATGTAGCGTTTCATATTCCACATCTGAAGTAAATACATCTAAGAACTTCAAAGTTGAAGCAAGGCTATGGTCATCGTATCTGATATTGTGACCAATAATTTGTTTAAATGTAGGTTTTTTTCCGTAGTGGCCAGGAAGTAAGATATCTGACAAAGCTTCTTCATATTTTTTATCTGTTAGATCTACACCATCAATACGTTGAATTTTTTGATTTCTTTGCAAAAAGTTTCTTTGTATTTCTATCTCTCTAGAGCTTTCTTTATTTAAATCCTCTTTTAGCTTGAGAGAAACAGTTACATTTCGTGCTGGCTCCTGCAAAAAATCTTGAACACGTTTATAAACCCGCTTAGAATTCTCTGGATCTGTATATAGCTTTTTTTTATCACCGCCAAGGCAAAAATGTATCAGCTTTAAAACTGTTGTTTTGCCAACATTATTGCCTGTTTCAGTACCTGTTTCAGTTAATGTTTCATCTACAATCAGATTAAGACCAGAGACAAAGTTGATTTCACGAATCAGCTCACCATTGCCCGTTTCTATAGTCAGTGACTTTAAGAACATAAGGTTACTTTTTGGTCTGAGCCACAGATAGCAGTATCTATTAGAAACAACCAGTCAAGACATAATAAAAATAAATTAATAGACATTTTTTTAATACTGTTGACTCTTATATATAGCTCGTTAAGCTCCAAATTGTCTTCTTTTAGCAAAACTTCTAACAATATTGAGCTATTGTAATAAACACTATTTTCTGGATGGATATTATCAGGAATCAACATCTGCTTTTGGTGGCTTTTTAAAAATTTTACATCTAAGGAATGTGTCAACTACCAGTATCGCAGCACATAACCGAACTTCCTCTTCAGCAAGATCTATAACTTCATTACGAGACGCAACATACGAAACAATGCCATCAATAGTATTTAAAAAACGTTTACTAGAAGTCAAGCTAGAGTCCGTGCTTAAATAATTATTCCGAATTTGTTCAATTACGGAAAGACTTTTATTATCACCAGCACTATCAAACTCATTATAGATAGCCTTAATACGTACTACTTGTAGACTATGCTCTTTTATTAATTCTCCAATATCGTCAAGCTCATTGTAATCAATTTTATCTTGAATTTGAATGGGTAGCACTTCTAAATTAGAAGAATCTATATTTAGGTCGTTCTGTGCCAATATTTTAATAATTTTTGTAAGATTTGAAGGTAATCTATTTATAGAAGTAAAGGCACTAGGGCACTCTCTTTTAAAAAAACTAACTACCTTTTCTTGCCCCTCAATAGTCAAAGCTAAGATTGCTTTTTGTAATGAGGTAATGTCCAAAATATCTTTATTGAGATCAAATGGAACAGAATTGCTATTTTTAAGGTTTTGCAACTTCTTTAAGTCAACAGCCTTAGATATTGACATAAATATAAATCTATATTGTCGGTATGATTCTGGAACTTTACTCAGCGACTCCTCAAGCTTAGATTTAGTATTCGTTGAAGAAACTTGAACCATGATTTTATTATCATCATCAATTAAGTCTATTCCAGGAACATTTTGTTGATCTACATTTAAATTTTTAAGACTATACCCATATATAAGATTTAGCAATTCACAATAAAAGTATTCGGAAAAAACGTTTAGATCAAAAATACCCGCCCCAGCTCGAATTTCGACCTCACTGGCCAGAATGCTAAAAACCCTACTAACTACAACTGAATTTTCTTGTCTTTGTTCCATTAATATTTATACCCCTGCTTAAACATTACGTCGGCAATTGCAAGTCATTATTAACGCCACAGACACCCGCCAGGCGAAAAAAATCAGCGTTGCTTTTTTTGTAGAACAAGATTTTTACCCTAGAACATTATTCGCAAAACCATCCAACACTTCTCCGTCGCGAACACGCTTCTTTACGTTACCAGGATCCGTTTTTTCAAACAGCCTTAACGATGCTTGACCTTCCTCGATATTAGCCGAAACCATAACCACCTCATCATCAACCTTACGAAAAAAGAATGCATGTCTATTTACTCTTACCAGTAAATCTGAATTGCTAAATACTTCCATAACACCTAAAAGCGGTAAGCCATCTTGAATAATACTGCTGGCGGCATGATGTTCTGTTAGCTGTATCATTGATTCTTTTAAGCCTAACGCTTTCTGCGACTTTTCAGTTAACACAGCTACTGGAATACGTCCATTGCCGTTTCGCTTAGCTAGCTTTAGGAACGTATTTACATAACCACTGTCATGTAAATCCTGTATTGCAGTTCTTCTGGCCTGAGCTGGCAATGCCTCGATACGACCCGACAATGCATCTGTAACAAATCGTTTACGCGTTAGTCCAGGGTTTGTGTGCCAGCCTGGATCTACACCCACTGGAACACGTACCTCTTCGCCTGTACGACGATTAACAACTGTTCTGTTTTTTAACCGAGGTTTACTCGGTTTTAAACCCATAGCCTTAAGCTGCCTGTCGCTAACTTGCGTAACTCTGCATTTACAACCATGGCCATTTGGTGGGAACAGGCGCTTCCAGATTGGATCATCGACATGAGCCACAAGAGGTCTTTCTGCCCATTTAACATGTTGCTCTCGATGATTTTCACTAGGACCTAAACGGTAAACAAACCAAGGTCTTGTCTCTTTTGTACGCTGCGAGCGCTCATATTGGCCAGCAGCTCTAGCACTGCGAATATTGGCACGATAAATGGTTTTTAAACGACGTGGACTACCTAATTCTGCAAGTTGCTTTCGTCCTGTTATTGGATCTGTAACTTGCCTAACACCGTACCAGCCTTTCTTTTCTAATAGCGGCTGCAAGCCCTTTTGAAATTGTCTTAGGGTTTGACCTTCTTTAATTGCTACCCGTAGCGCACCTCGAATATCTTCTAAAACATCAAAGCCTACTGTTTTAGCAACCGTAAAGGCATGATGATGCTCTTCTGCAAAGACATCTAGATAACTAAAAGATGGCTTAAGTTGTTTATTACGTAAAAACTGTAATGCATCTTTTGGGACTGGCGGTGTAAACGGTCTTGGCATTACTAGCCACTATCGCGCACATCACCAACGCTACGCGCCGCGAGCATTGCGCTTGCTAGTTCTTTAGCTAATGGATTTATATCTAGATCTAATTCAAGTAGTGCTGTTTCTAGCTCTTCAAGGTTTTGAGCATTAGCAATCACTTCTTTTATGGGATCAAGAATAGGATCCATCTGTTCTTGCCAATCAGACAGTCCCATCTCTTCTAATTCTTCGTCTAGCGTTGCTTGTTGTTCTGGATTACCGCTATCAATGGCTGCATTGTTAGCACCTGCAAGTAATGCCTCTATGTTTTCTAATCGTTGATTAATGGCTAATGTCGTCTCCGTTGGTGCAGGGGCGGCTTGTGCTACGGGTGCTTTTACTTCGGGGGTTAGTAGTTCGTCGTCAGCCTCTGGTGCTTCTAAGCCAAATTTCTCATTGAGTTGTCGTTACGATACTTTAAAACCGCGATCAATCATTGGACCGACTGCTTGACTAAACGTCTTGATATCTTCAGGATCACGAACCGGTAGCAAAATCTCTGGATAATTTTCCTGTGGTCCATAATTAATATCAATATATGGCCTGATTAAATCACGATTCAAGGTAGCTGCAAGCTGTTTTGCGTCGCTACGCTTAATCTCTATTCTGATGTCATCATGGACTTTTGCTTGACCTAGACTACTACCATCATCAGTAGTCATAGTCTGACCAAGTACAGTTTTACTAATTTGTTTATCGCAGTAGGTAGCTAAACGCTCAAACACATCTGCTGCTGCTTGGCCACCAACAGCTTCTAAAAGCTCAATCTCCATTGACTTATGAATAACCGCACCAGCATCACTACCTAAACTATGAATTGCTTCAATTAAGGTCTGAATATCATCTTCACTAGCACCTTGACCATAACGACCAATCTTAATCGGGATACCAAAGACTTCTGCAAACGCTAGCCAGTCTTTGATGGTATAGTTTTGAAAGAGGTAATACCACGCAGCAGGCAATGCTAGCCCGCCACGAATCGGATGACCGCATTTTAGCTTAGGAATATGACAAATAAACTTATAGGCTGGCAGCTCCAAACCCTGAACTAAATCTGCCTCATCACGAATACGTAATTCGTTTTTACGTTCAGGATGAAACATAAAAGAGCGTGGATCACGTCTTTCATACGTAGGCCACCATTTAGATCTACTAGACTCCCAGACAAGCTCAACAAGAGCATAACCTTTACCAAAGGCATCTAATAAATTATCGAGCATTGGCTCAAACTCAGGGCCAGAAGCCAATCGTTCTACATCTTCAGCAATAGCTAAGCTTTTTGCATCATCGCCGCCAGGCTGCACAATTGGTTCAATACCCGTTACTGCAACACGTCGCATGCTTAAAACACTACGGTAATGGGGATATCGTTCCTCCATTTCTTCTGCTAGTGTTAAGTAATCGCGGGTATTATTGGTGCTTGTTGCTTCTCGTAAAATACGAGTTAATCTAGCTGGTGTCAGTCCAGACGCTATAGCGTCCTGCCAAAAACTACGTACCCCTAAATGACTAGGCTGTGCAATTTTTTGTTTTAGCAGTTCTTTTTTAATGGGTTGATTGCGATAGTCATACAACATTACCATATTGTCTAAGCTCCTTTAATACGCACCACGCAGGCTACCAATTCCGCTTTTACCTCTGCGTACTTGCCTGTGGCTGCGGTCTTGGTGATTTGGACGCATCCAATCGCGTGCGCTGTCTTGATGCAAGCTATGATGCTCGTATACTTCTATTTCTAAAGAGGTGGAATAACTTAAAAGCGCCAAAGCAATCGCGCTATCACCATGACGAAGTCCGCCGTCAGCACCACGAAACCTAGCATCACTGGGTATACTGGTAACACCTTTGTCTGTTTTAAGTAGTCGTAAATCTTTTAAAATATCGCTATCTTGTGGTAGCTCAATTGTCGCATCACTAAAACGAGCTAAAAACGGTGGCATGTTTTCTTGGTACCACTTAGGCGTTAGCATCACCTGTTCAACACGATTATGATCAAACTGATCTGCGGCCTCTTCTGCAATCTGGCTACCATTACCACGGGCATCAAAAGCTGCTTTTACAAAACGAGGTAGCCGTTCTAAAACAAACTCAATAACCTGGTATTGCTGTCTAAAAGGTATGGTTCTGAGTTCAATGATCAGCGGTACAGTTAATACAAGATCACGTCGCATCTCCCCAATTGCAAGCACTGTTAAGTCTCCCGTACGTCCAAAGTCTTCACCTAGATAATGATCTAAACGTGGGCTGAGACGTGCTAGTATTGGCTCGACTTGCAAGGCTAGCCATTCTTGGATTTCTTGACGACGGACAGGCTCTGGTAATAACTTCCAATCATCTGGCCTTGAAAACCGTAAAACAGGTGCTGACTGCATACGTGCTTCAATAAGTGCTCGCGATAATGCCGCACCACCTGATTGCGATGGAATACAAAATAGCTCTTCGTCTGCACCAGAACCATAAAAATCAATAATTTCTTGCCGCCAAGCTTCTTGTGCTTTAGGTGACCAATCTCGACCGGTTACCTGAAAGATACGCTTACAGAGTCCTTGATCAATTGCGTCATCGAGTGTTACGCGGTGAAGCCTGTAAGGTTTTCTGCCTTCTTTAACATCGTTGATTAAGTCATTAAACGGATTATCAACACCATTATGAGTTGAGATAATAGCAACACAGCCACCCCACATTAAAAAAGCCATAGCTGCCTTAATAACTTCTTCGGGATTATCATGGAAAGCGGCCTCATCAAAGCAGAACCTACCTTGTTTACTACGCAGGTTTCTCGCATGTCCAGATAATGCTTCAACAACATGGCCGCTATCAAAGTTAACCTTAAAGACATGAGAGCTTTTATCTTCGTCGCCATCTTTCCAGACTTCTTCATATTCTGAGACATTAGAGACTGCAGCATTGTAGATACCAGCCCAAAACACGGCATCACGAATATACTGCTGTGTCATATCTTTGTTATAGGCCATGTAATAACAATTCATACCGCCTGCAGTTTTGTTTTTCATGGCCACAAAGGTTGCCTTAGCAGCATCTACCCAGCTAATACCTGTACGACGCGATTTTTCCATAATGTCGACTTGCGAGGTGCTAGAAAACCATCTTTTTTGATAATCCAAAAGCAGAGATTTTGGATCGTAGTTATCTAAATAACCTTTAGGTAGGTTTTTAAGATCGAGGGGCTTGTTCATTAAAAAGCCTCTCGCAGAATCAAGACTTGTTTTAATTTATTTTTCTTACCGTTGCCACGATTACCAATACCCATAGGTGTCGCAACTTCAATAAACTGGCAGCCCTGATACAGCTCCCGAATAAATGGATCATCGTCGTAACTCACAATAAAGCTACCCTGCAATCTTAAAACAGCATCCCTTAAACAAACATGTTCTTCTTTGCTAAAAGCATAGTCGTATTGCAGACCTTTTATATAGGGCGGATCAAGAAAAAAAACGCGCCATCATAGTCATATTTCTTTAAAACCTCTTGCCAAGGTAAGTTTTCAATTGTTACACGATCAAATCGCCCGTATACGCGACGCAGTACTTTTTGTTTTTCCTGCCTAGAGCTACAACCTTGTTTTTTGCTGATGCCAAAATGACTGCCTTGCCCACCAAAAGACATCTGGTTACATAAATAAAAACGGGCAGCTTGTTGAATATCTGTTAAACCAGGACGCTCTAGATACTCTAAAAATTCTTGACGACTATGGGGTACTAGATCTATTTCATCTATGAGGGCTTCGTAATGATATTTCAAACATCTAAAAAAGGTAACCAGATGATTATTGATGTCGTTATAGATTTCAACTTTTGAAGGTTCTTTTTTAATTAAGACAGACGCACCGCCACCAAATACTTCTACATAGGTACGGTGTTCTGGTATCAGAGAGGCTATCTGTTTAAATAGTAATGCCTTGCCACCTGGCCACCGAATGGGTGAACGCAGTGTTTTCATGTTTGGCAGTTTATGTTTTGTCATCACGCCGCCACTGCAATGTTTAATACGTCACGCTCAACGATCGCTGCTGTTTCTTCGTCAATGCCTGCCTTCTTGAGGCGTTTACCAATCTTGACAGCAGCAGCTTCTGCGCGTGCACGAAGCTCTTGTTTAAACTTAAGATCTGTAACGCTTGCTCTTGTAATGTCAGCAACCGCGCGTGTGATTTTAGTAATCTCTGATGTTTTTAAGTCTTTATTCTGAGCGCCGCGAATAAGCTTTAAAATCTTATCTTGAGTTAGACGTACCAATGCTTGATTTACTTGACCCTCATCATCTGGACAAGCTTCACTTAAATAGCGTGCAAACTCTGTCGATTCGCGTACACTCTCTAGAAAATCTTTATACTTTTTTGCAGCCGCACCAACAGCACTGCGGCTAACGTTAAGCTCAATACCTGCTTCCTCAATCCACTGATTTAATAAAACTGAAATATCGTCATAATTACTAAAATTACGACGTTTAAATTCTTCACGTAACTTTTCTTGTATCTCTTCTGGAAGCTGTGAGATTTTACTGCGATCTGTCATGATGGCCTACGTATACCTGCAGGTGGCTTCTTTGAACCTTCTGCTACTTGATAGCCTGCTGCCTTAAGATCAATACGACGGCCTTCAACTGATGTTTCAATACGTATCAGCTCTAATTCACTTAAAAAATCAAGAGCGACATTAAACATCTTTTTTGTCGTTTGCGGCTCTGCGATGCGCACACCCTCAAATAGTATCGATTCACTTAAACCCAAAGGCTGTGCTTCTCGTAAGATTTCTAACATGCGCCAGCGGATCATTTCGTGCTGCAACTGCTCTAGATTCATTGACATACCCCTGATCCATTTGCTTGCGACAGACGTAACTTACCCAATTCCTAATGGATAATTTTCTTACTGCGGTCAAGCTCTTTTTTATCAACAAAGTCTTCTCTAATTTTTGAAATCTCTTTTTCTATAACACGAATATCTTGAGCTTCTCGCACATTAGTATCTTCAATGGCGCTTAGTCGTACATCGATCAATTGCTCTAAATGCCTGTGCTGCTGATTGCTTCGTTCTTCAAAAGAGCGCAAACGCTCTGATTGTTTTTCGTCAAGCTCTGTCATCTTTTTTTCTAATCCCTCAACAGCGCCTTGCTGAGATTGAATAAGGGAAGCTAATCGTTCATCTCCATGCTTGTCTCGCCATTTAATAATTCCTCCCACAACAACAACCGCTACCCCAAAAAAGAATGTAACCGATTGCCACGTCAGCACGATTTCATCTTGAGGTGCTGTTTTTGCCGCATAAGCTACTCTTAAGCAAAGTCCAAAAACAAAAAGAATAAATGCAGTAACGACACCTACTAACAAAAAAATATACACATAAGGACGCTCGCGCTGTAGATCGTTAAGCATGTCTTCAAACCAAATAAATAGCTTTATCATCGAAGCTGACACCCCCCTAAAAGGTTTTCTATTTCTTTGCTATATTCAATAAGCTGCAACAAAGACAGTACCTGCGCTGCCACCTTAACGTGCACCTCTGTCTCTTTTGTTACAGCATGTAGCGCTAAAAACGGGCGCTCAGGGATCGGTAGCTCTGGATACGGTATTGGTATGGGTATCGGTACTGTTTTTCGTTGGTGCGTGCAGGCAGACAGAAAAGATAACAGAAGAGCAAGCCCAACAATGGTAAGGCCAGTGAATATACCTTCAAGTAATGCAGTATATATATCCCAAAGACGCTCTTTGCGATTAACCTTCCAGTCCTCCCTTAACCCACCTATAAGATTTTTTAATTCCTGCCAGATTTTCATGGCGAGAGTCCATTAAATTCTTTGGAAATAATCAGGCTCTGCCTGTGCATCCAGGAGACAGCTTCAGTACAGGCTTTAGGAACAACCTCTTGCTTAAGCTTGGTCATACGACTGTTCGCTTTTTTTCTTAATTCGGGCAATTTAGCAATAGCCTTAAGGGCATGCTTTTTTTGTTTTTCTGCTTCTGCTTGCCAAAGCTCAATACGACCGCTTTGCAATTCTAGTTGCTGGCCTTGCTGAACAAGTTCTGCTTTTAGGTTTGTTACTTTTTTACGCATTACTTTTGTTGTGATAAAAAAACCAGCACACACAACGACTAAAGCTAACGCAATTGTTCGCCATGGATTTTCTGTTAGAAAGCGACCCACAAACCCTAATGCAGCAAAAGCACCCATTAAGATTTTCCTGTCAGGGTGATACCTTGGCTAGTAATCATGCGTAAGAAAACATTAACGATTGCAATAACCGCAATAATACGAGCTGTCATCTGTGACTCTAACCCAAAGACATGCAACTGAACACCAATTTCTTCTAAGATCGCTGGCAGCATTAGCAGCGTATTAAAAATGATGGTTTTAGATTTATGAGGTTGTTTCGTTACCTTTTCCATAATTTGCTGACCTTATCGACATAAGCTTGATTTTTAAAGCGATCAAAAATGTACTGCGGGCTACCCGCGTTATAGGCAGCAATGACACCATCCCAGTCATGGTCAGATAGATGCCTCGAACACATCCTTGCAAGGTGCTTGCAACCATATTCCAAGCCTGTCTCAATATCACATAACTGTGTTAAGTAGCGGCCAGTAAAACCATGCTCACGAGCAACTGCACCCATCACCTGCATTAATCCATAACTTGTTTTTTGTCCGGTCCATTCTGTAGCACGGGAGGTGTGTCGCGGTGAGGTAAAATCTTTTGGTGGATTAATATCTTTGCGCTCAAGACGACTAAGCTCACGAAATGGCTTTCTGTTTGCGTAGTCCCACATGTAGCGATAATGAGGCTCAAAACGAAACGCAAACGGCCGAAAGCCAGATTCCACCTCTATAATTGCCTGAACAAGCGGCACAGGTAAATACATACGTGTCGCGTGGACAGCGATAAGCGCTAACATGTCTGTTTTTGAGATCATCCTAGTATTTAGGATGACAAGAAAAATGTGCAGTTTATAGTGCAAAATTGCACTATTTTAGTTAATTGTTTTGTGGGGTATTACGAAACAAGGAGAACTGATTTTGATCAATCAGTGTGCTTCTTGCTCTTTTGATAATGTTATAAAAATTACGTCGCGTCAAGCCATAAGCTTTCATTAATTCAATATCAGAAATACCGCTACGATATTTTTGATAGATCTCCTGATCTCTTTTTTGTAGATTGTACTGTGCTGCTTTTGGGATGTAGAGATTTCTACCGCCAACGTGATGACGTAGTATTTCAATAACACGCCTACCGATTATGTCGGACTCTTGCTTACTTAAGCGCGTACGCTCTTCCACCTCGCTAGCAACAATAGCTGCCATTTCAGCAAAGACTTCAGGGTAACTATCTTTGTAATCTGTTTTCATTGGTTTAGTCGCTCAAAGTAATACCAAAACAGCAGGCACGCATCCTTAGTTTTTGTGTACTCTTTTGCCCAACTAAAAAAGCTTTCGACATCAATAAAGCCATCTAGTAAAGCCAAGTCAAAAACCTCTTGATCTGTTAAGACACGAATACCCCACAGAACATCATCCATAACTAAAACACTGCAATCTTCAGAGAAGTTAATAATTAAGACTGCCCGTCGTGAAACCTTAGCTTCACCGAGCAGACGACAAGATTTATGCCGCATGCCTGTATAGAGCTTCATCTTTTCGCCAACTTCAGGATTACGCTTGTCCTTGCGAGGTTTACGAATCGTTGTGGTTTTGCGGTTTGACTCAATCAGATCGGCAAACTCGCTAGCGAAATTCCAGGCTCCCATTACTCGCCATCTTCTTCTTTAATAGCCTGCAAACCAATACGTGCGGCCTGCTCAAGTACCCACATAAGCTCAGGCTCCCGAACCAGTAGCGCATCATCAACACTTAAGCGTCCCATTACTCTTGATAAAACAGTTGCAAAATCAATTAGATCTGCATGCTTTAATGTGTCCTCTGCTTTAACATCAAGGACACCTTCTAGAACTTGTATGTACTTTTCTGCCTGCGTCATCTTGTTTGCTCTCTTTTTTGCTGTTTTTCAAGCTGTGCAATAATCCAGCCTAGTTGCTCATTTGTACAAAACCGCACATGGTCAACTTTC